GGAGAAATAAGGAAACAGTAGAGTTTGTCTTACGAGTCTATCTTGAGGGAAACATATATCATGGACTTTTGTCTTTACTCCATAAGGAAGAAGCCTATTCAGGAAGTATAAAAGACTTTTTGCTCATAGGATGGTATACTCTTCTAGAGAAGTATATTTAGGAAATATTGGCATACATAAAGCACACAATAGTAAAGAGATCTGGGTAGAATTTAGAATGCACAGGTGGATTTCCGAATAATTTCCAACACCATGCCCTTTTATTCTGTTGGTTCTTGGATTCCTACCACAATGCCTGGCACATAGTAGATACTTAATATACATACATGTTTATTTATTTATTGTATAGACCTGTAGTAAATATATCTCTGAGTCTCTAAAGTGATAATGAAGATCCTTAAAATAATATAAACAAACTAGGTGGCCCTCGTTGTTTAATATTCAACTATATATATTAAGCAAAATTTATTCACTTAGAAATTTTTATTATGATATAGCCAGTTGAATGCGGTGGCTCATACCTACAATCCCAGCACTTTGGGAGTCTGAGGCAGACTACTTGAGCCTAGGAGTTTGAGACCAGCCTGGACAACATGGTGAAATGCCATCCCTACAGAAAATGCAGAACTTAGCCAGGCACAGTGGCACATGCCTATAGTTCCCGATACTGGGGAGGCTGAAGTGGGAGGATGGCTTGAGCCCGTTAGGTCTCGCAGTGAGCCGCGATTGCACAACTGTGCTCCTGTCTGGGTGACAGAATGAGATACTGTCTCAAAACAAAAAGATACAGACAGCACTAACTAGTAATTATTTGTGTCCTAGACAGGCCAGACTTCAAGAAGCTTACCATGCCCGTAAGTACACAGGACTCAAAGTGCCTAGATTTTCCCTCTCCTAGATATCTGTCTACCCAAGAGAAATGAAAACATACATCCACACAAAAGCTTGTACACAAATGCTCATAGCAGCATTATTCATAATAGGTAAAAAGTGGAAAGAACCTAAATGTCCACTAACTGATGAATAAACAAAATAGGGAGTATCCATACAATGGTATTCAGCCATAAAACGTGAACTATGGATATATGCTATAATGTGGATGAGCTATAAAAATATTATGCTAAGTGAAAGAAGCTGGTCACAAAAGGTCATTCATTCTGTGATTCCATTTATATGGAATGTCCAGAATAGACAAATCTATAGAGACAGAAAGCAGATTAGTAATTGCTTAGGGCTGGTTTGTGGAGAGGGTACTGAGAGGAAATGAGGAAAATGGCTAATGAGGATGGGATTTCTTGTTGAAGTGATGAAGTTGTTCTGACATGGATTTTGAGGATGATTGTAAACTCCGTAATTCTTCAAAAAAATCATTGAATTATATACTTTAAATAGGTGAATTGTATAGCATATTTTTGTTTTTTCAGACAGGGTCTAACTCAATCACCCAGGCTGGAGTACAATGGCTTGATCACAACTCACTGTGTCCTCAACCTTCCTGGCTCCTGTGATCATCCAGCCTCAGGCCCCAATTCAGTAGCAGGGACTACAGGTGTTCACCACCACACCTAGCAGATTTTTTAATTGTAGCCCAGGCTCGCTTGTCTGGAACTTCTGGAATCAAACCTTTCTCCTGCCTCAGCCTCCCAAAGTGCTGTAATCACAGGCACGAGCCATCACACTTGGCCCAGTTATTTATCAACGAAGCTGTTACCTAAAAAGTTAGATCTGAGTCCTGAGTTCTGCCGTTTACTAGTTTAGGTAAATTACTTATGTGTAAAGGGACCGATATAGTTTCTACCTCACTGGGTTGTTGCTATAAAAAGAACATCCTGGTAAAAAGCCTCTAACTTCATAAGCAAAAATAAGTAGTATCTATTGTTATTATTATTGACATCTGGCTGTGTTGCTCAGGCTGGAGTACACTAGCACAACCTCGGCTCACTGCAGCCTCTGTCTTCTGGGCTCAAGAGATTCTCTTGCCTCAGCCTTCAGAGTAGCTGGGACTACCGGCCCATGCCACCACACACAGCGAATTAAAAAACATTTTTTTTTTTTTTTGTATAGATGAGGTCTCACCACATTGGCCAGGCTGGCCTGGAACTCCTGGAATACAGGTTATTATTAATTAATTGTTAAAGGATATTGGTCCATCCACAGACCACCCTGCTTTATTTCGTACTGTTTTGGGTACATCCCGGGCCCCAGGCCTGACAACCTGCCACATTGCCTTATATAAAATGTGCCCTAGATCAATCAAATTCCTGCTCTTTAGATTTAAGCGGTGAAACAGAGACAAGGGCAAATGACTGTGACACCTAAATTTTCGGTCATAGGGGTTAGGTAAGTAGCAGGCAAATTGTCGTGATGAGGGAGCAGAAGTAACCATGAAGGAACAGAGGAAGAGGCAGTGAGAGGAGAACACAGAGCCATGGAGGAGAGATTCTGTGAGTGATGTCTGGGTGGACAGTCCCTAAAATTGCCTGAATTCCTGGTAATTTACAGATCCAACCTTGAGCCATTGGAGCATTGCAATATGCCACCACCATTGTGGGAGGTGCCACCACCAGGCTGCAGAGGTTCAAGACCCACATCAAACTCCAGTTTACCTTACCATCTACTAGCCTTCTGACTTGGGCAAGTTGTTTAAACTCTCTGAGCCCAGCTCCTTTAATCTGTCCACCTGGCATCATGCTAGAACTTCCTTCACAGGGTTGTTGAAAGAACCACATGAAATCTAAGTGCTCAGCACATAGTAAGCACTCAATAAATGAGAACTCTTATTAATACTATAGTCATTTTTATTAATGTGTCTTTATTCCTTGCAAGCAAAGATACTTAATTAAATTGTGTTATACAGTTATTCACAATGTGAAGTCTGTTGGCCCAAAAATAATTTTTATAAAAGGATACTTGACAGTGAAAATTTTAGAAATGTAGTTATCTACTCAATCCCTTCTTACACTGATAAAGAACTGACATCTAAAGATAGTTCCAGATCACACAACCAAGAGAGAGTATGCTGGGATGAGAGGCTGGGCTTCCTGACCCCAGGCTTGAGTTCAGTCTGTTGACTCTCAGATTACTGGGATTTAAACTACTAAATAAATTCAGTAAACTTTTCTACCTATTCTCTCTTTTTTTTTTTTTGAGACAGTCTTGCTCTTGTTGCCCAGGTTGGAGTGCAGTGACACGATCTCAGCTCACTACAACCTCCACCTCCCGGGCTCAAGCAATTCTCCTGCCTCAGCTTCCCTAGCAGCTGAGATTACAGGCATGTGCTACCGTGCCCTAATTTTTTATATATTCAGTAGAGACAGGTTTTCACTATGTTGGCCAGGCTGGTCTCGAACTCCTGACCTCAGGTGATCCACCCGCCCTGGCATCCCAAAGTGTTGGAATTACAGGTGTGAGCCATCACACCTGGCCTACCTTTTCTCTTAACCAGTTATTTATTTATTTATTGAGACACACCCAGGCTGGAGTGCAGTGGTGCGATCTCAGTTCACTGTGACCTCCACCTCCCAGGTTCAAGGATTCTCATGCCTCTGCCTCCAGAGTAGCTGGGACTACAGGCACGTGCCACTATGTTTGACTTATTTTTGTATTTTGTATTTTTTTTTTTTTTTTGAGACAGAGTTTCGCTCTTGTTACCCAGGCTGGAGTGCAATGGCACAATCTCGGCTCACCGCAACCTCCGCCTCCCGGGTTCAGGCAACTCTCCTGCCTCAGCCTCCTGAGTAGCTGGGATTACAGGCACGCGCCACCATGCCCAGCTAATTTTTTTTTTTTTTTGTATTTTTAGTAGAGACGGGGTTTCACCATGTTGACCAGGATGGTCTCAATCTCTTGACCTCGTGATCCGCCCGCCTCAGCCTCCCAAAGTGCTGGGATTACAGGCTTGAGCCACTGCGCCCGCCTGTATTTTGTATTTTTAATAGAGACAGGGTTTTACCTTGTTGTCCAGGCTGGTCTCGAACTCCTGACCTCAGGTGATCCACTTGCCTTGGCCTCCCAAAGTGCTGAGATGATAGGAAGGAGTCATTGCACCTGGCCCAGTTCTTCATTTAAAAAAAATTTTTGAATAAAAGGTATAATTAAAGTTCTAATGCTACCCTAGTATATAAATTTTATGTTATAATAAATTCACTGTTTATTACAGAAGAGTTTTGTTCCACCAGGTTATTGTCTTGTCCATTGATATGGCCAATTGTCACCAGGAAAGAGACACTTTTCCATGGGGGAAATCACAAGACTGTCCTAGTTTCCCAGTAACTTATCCTGTTCTGCTGTTGCTGTGACACAGAGAATGAATTCCTCATAGTGGAAAGAAAATGGAGTTCTTCCACAGTGACTTTTTTTTTCACATAATGATAATATCAATTATCCCAAAACGAGGAGAAGCAACTCAAATTCTTACTTTCTTGTCAGATGTCCCAGAGGAAAGAGCATGGCATAGTTCCTTTTTCTTCTCTGAAATTATTTCCAAATTAATTTGCTCCTGGCCCAGTTTATGTCTATTCATTTCTATAGCCCTTGCATCACACCCAAATGAGTTTCCTCTTTCTATTGTTTGACAAATTTTCACAAAATATTTGAAAGTTTTCTGCTTCCTCTTCATTCCGTTTTGTGGGTAAAGCATTATATTCAGACTCTTTCCTCTGGGAGTCCTTTGAGTTACAAAGTCAAATGATATTCCATGGGCAGGAGACTTGGAGCAAGCTCTCACTGTTGTGAGGTGAGCAGTTTGTGAATGCACATTTTTCATCCCCGTTGGCTTATCCATGGGTGTGCCTCTGGTGCCTTATATGCTGCTTAGGAACCTGTCATTATAACACATTATAATAGAAACTATCTATTACGGTCTTACCATGTGATAAGTCCTTCACATAGATCATCATACTTAAACCTCATCACAATCCTAGGAAGTGGGTTTTATTTACTCTGATAGATGAAGAAAATTAAGAATTTCAAAATTTAAGTAAGTTGCCTGAGATCATTCAACCTGGAAGGAGCAAGCAAGGATGGCTTGAATCCTAAACTCTTATCCACTATTCCCACGGTGCCCAAATGGTGGTCCCCAGACCAGCAGCATCAGCACTACCTGGGAAACTGATGGAAATGCAAATTACTGGGCTGGGCAGTGGCTCCCACCTGTAATTCTGGTGCTTTGGGAGGCCAAGGCAGGAGGATTGCTTGAGGCCAGGAGTTCAAGACCAGCCTGGGCAATAGAGTGAGACTCTCCATCTCTGTAAAAAAATTTTAAAAATTAGTCGTGCATAAGGCTGCACAGTGAGCTATGATTGTGCCACTGTACTTTAGCCTCTGTAACAAAGTGAGACTATGTCTTTAAAAAAAAAAAAAAAAGCAAATTCTCAACCTGCACCTCAAATCTACTGAATTAGAAATTCCCAGCATGGGGACCAGCAATCTACATTCTAACCAGACCTCCTGTTGACTGATGGATGCTGAAGTTAGAGAATTAACTGCACCTTGCTATGCTTTACATGCATAAAGACATCACACATGTAACTAGAGAACTATAAAGATTGTCTGGGAAATGACTCCAAAAACTTAGGGTTCTAGGTCGGGAATTTGCTGGGACCCGAGTTTGCCTATCTCTCAGTGGGAGGCCTGAGGCCCCCATGGTGTTTCAGAAACTCTCCCAACATCTCCAAGGCAGGGCAGTTAGCATCTCAAAATTCCGATTAGCACTTGTATCTGAACTCAGATTATCTGTGCCTGAGCCCCAGATGGTTATCACCACTCCTACCCCATGCAAGACCAGACTCCCACTTTCCTGGCAAAAAGGGAGAGTGGTGAGAGGTTGAGGGGTAGAGTCCCTCCTCTTATCACCTGTGGTCCAGCTGTGTCCCAGCCAAAGCACATTGTCTGACTTGCAAAAGGATGCCAAGAGGATGGAGGCCACATCTGCTGACCGTTTTGCCTCTGAGTTCCAGCCTGCACCTAATAATGATGGTGGAACTGAAATACTTGGATTAGTTTCGCTATAACAAATAATAACAAATTTAGTTGCTTAAAGAATACAAATGTATTATCTTACAGTTTCATAGGTCGGAAGTCCAATCTGAGGCTTATCAAGCTAAAATCAAAGTGTTAGCAAGGTTGTGTTCCTTTCTGGGGGCTCCAGAGGAAAATGTTCCTTTGCCTTGCCCAGCTTGTGATGGCCACCCACATTCTTTGGCTCTTGGCTTCCTTCCTCCATGTGCAAAACCAACAATGTTGCATGTTTCTGACCATTGTTCCATGCTTTCTGACCACATTGCTGCATCTTGCTGACCACAGCCAGGAGGGGTTCTCCTGCTTATAAGGACCCTTGTAATTACATTGAGACCTTCAGGATAATCCAAGTAATCTCCCCATCTCAAGGACCTTAACTGAATCATATCTGCAAAGTCCTTTTTACCATGTAGGGTGATATATTTATAGGTGAGATTGGAAAAGAAAGAGAAAATGAATTCCTGTATTATTTATCAATTAGAGTAATATGTAAAGGCATTGTTCCTTTATTCCAAGATCGTTTGCTAAAATATATACCTCTGCTTAAAAAACTCCTTTTTCTTTTTTTTTTAGGGAAGAGGAAATATTACCACATTATAGGCATTCATAGCTCAAAATATATGTCTAGATTTCAGAAACCATAAACTAGGATGGGAATTTGTCTTAGAAGCAAAGTAATACCATACTAATCTCATCTAGTGTTTATTTTCCTTCTTATACCTGCCTACTTAATTTCAACAAAGCACTGTTATGAAGTAGGCAAGAAGCAGAAACTCAGGCTTAGAGAAGCTTTGTGACTAAACCTAAAGTCCCCTAAATAAATTCCAGGACTCGAAGTCCAATCTTTAACTCTAACTCCAGGACTCCTTCTTTTATACTAGGCAAGACTGCTCCAAGAAGAGGTAAGTCTTCCTGGAAAGAAGTTACTTCCTCACTGATCCCCTAAGTTTTGGTCACAGACCCCTGGGAAACCACAGAGTAATTACAAGGATTGGGAGTTCACTCATATATTAAACACTAGCTGAGGTCTGAAAAGGTGATGTATGTTTGTGCCTTCGAATCTCTACAGGTGCTACTGAGGTGATTTAATATGCAGTTTCCTTTGCTAATGCACTTCCTCCCGGCAGCATCTTGACATTTCATTTTCTAAAAAAAAATGAATGCTAAAAGTAAAACTGCTATTGAAAACATCTGAAATATATACATTTATACACACACACACACAAATTCATATATATCTCCTCTCTACAATTGAGCTCTCGTTTGTGAAAAAGTTGGGAATCATTTTTTTTCCTCATTTTATTTGACTTCAAACATTGTGATAGCGAGGCTCTAAAAGAGACTCATGACTGTGATTTCTTGTGTTATTTCTTCCTCTCTCTTTCCAAAGGCACATAAAGCATCTTTCACTTGCTCTAAATTTCTCTTGGTGCCATTCTGGCTACTTCTCACCCTTCTCTCCAAACTTCACTGTCCAGGAACATCAGGAAGATAAACAAATGGTAAGTATGGAGGAGAATAATGATAGGCTGTACTGGAGTTGTCCATCACAATGCCTGTCATGCCACTAGCATTGCTAAGAGAAAAATGCCCCACCCAGCACAGGTAGTAAGGGGTAGAACTAGTGGCTTATTTTGTGAACGCAGTAGTTTGCAAAATGTCTGGATTAGCATCACGTTGCAGCTTGTCAAAAATGTGAATTCTTGAGTCCCACCCCACACCTACTGAATATGGGGATGTCCCCAGCAATCACTGCCTTAAGAAGGCCCCTAAGTGATGCAGTAGTTTGCAAAATGTCTGGATTAGCATCATGTTGCAGCTTGTCAGAAATGTGAATTCTTGAGTCCCACCCCACACCTACTGAATATGGGGATGTCCCCAGCAATCATTGCCTTAAGAAGGCCCCTAAGTGAGTCTGATGCAAGTTACAGGTTTGTCTGACCTAATTGCAACTGATTGGACCAGAAATAGCTACCTGACTCAAATGCAGCTAACCCATAGGCTCCCCATTGGTCTGTGGCATCTTGTGGCCAGAGAAAGAGGAGCTGGACAAACCAGGCTTCCCCTTTGTGGCAGATGAATGGGGAAACAGTGATGTTAAATGAGGCTGTGCAGTAGCATTGAGGCCATGAAGGGTCATGAGCATGCTGGGAACAGGAACTGTGACTAAGCAGAAGCTGTGAAGCCAAAAACAATGACAAAAAAACGACAAGGAGAGGGCAAGGAAGGCAAGCCAACTGGGAGAGAAGAAATAAAGTGTGCAGGGAAAAGCAGAACTTGGAGATCTGGGGAATGAATGAGGAGAGTAGCGAAGTTTAAGAACATCTGCTGCTGAGGTCCCAGAGCTGCTGCAGCCTCTAATCCAACTCCTGGTTCTGCTTTTCACAGTGTGCTAGGGCCTTCTGAAACTAACCATTCTCTTGTCTGCAGCTTCTGTTCTGTGTATTCTTTTTTATTTTTAGATGGAGTCTTGCTCTGCAACCTCCGCCTCCTGGGTTCAAGTGATTCTTCCGCCTCAGCCTCCCAAGTAGCTGGGACCACAGGCACATGCCATCACACCCAGCTAATTTTTGTATTTTTAGTAGAGACAGGGTTTCACCATGTTAGCCAGGCTGGTCTCCATGTCTTGACCTCATGATCTGCCCGCCTCAGCCTCCCAAAGTGCTGGGATTACAGGCATGAGTCACTGTGCCCAGCCCTGTGTATTCTTTAAATCTATCTTTTCTTTGCATTTTCTTTATGTAAGGCTTTTCCCGTGCCCCAGCCCCAGTGCTTTCAAGGAGGGAGAAAGTTAAGACCAGAAGCATTTGAAAAAGAAATGAGGAAATGAACAAACCAAAATGAAACATTCTCTGAACATAACTTTCTCTCATTGGCCATAACACAAATTAGTAAATGAAAAAGCCTATTATTAGGTTTTCCAATCAGGTGATTTCACTCAAAAAAGGACCAAAGAGAGTCTCAAGAAAGAACCTTATGGAAAAATTTTTCTACCTCTACTTATTTGGACTTCTCTCTTTTACTCTCTAAGTATAGAGGAAGGTGTCCTTTTTTTTTTTTTTTTTTTAAAAAAGCTACTTTGAAATGCTCAGTTTCGATATTAAATGAGTTGATAATAGAAATCATTACAACTAAAAACTCTTGAGCTATTCTTATGCACCAAACAATGTTCTAAGTATGTCACGTTTTAAGTTATTTAATGTCATTTTCACAAGGGCAAGAATTTTTTTCACTACTGTATTTTCAGTACCTGGAATAGTGCTTGGCTACTAGTTGATAATCAATAAACCCTTGTCAGATGAATTAATAAGAACCTTAATACAATCCTTGGGTACTATTGTATCCGTCTTGCAGGCCTCCTGGCAGTAAAAATGGAAAGTCACATCTCAAATGTCTATGTGAGCATAACACTGTCAGACAGCAAGCTTCTACTTGGACTGACACCATGAAGGTTTTTATTCATTTGATGATATATTCATTCATTCAGTAAATATTTACTTAGCACTTATACATACCAAGTGTTGTTCTAGGCATTGAGGTTGCAGCATTGAATTGTGAAGATGCCTGTAGCTGCCCCTATGGGGAGACAGAGGAACAAATGAAATCATTTCAGGTAGTGACAGGTGCTACAAAGGCAATAAAAGAAGTGAGGTAAAAGAGCAGAATGGGAAAGGGTTATTTTGCATTTGAGAATCAGGGAAGGTTCCTCTGAGGAGATAAGGTTTGTGCTGAGACCTAAATGACAAGAAAACTCCAGCTTTGAAAAGAGTAGGACATTGCAAGTAGAAGGAACGGCAAGTGCATAGGGTTGTGCTTGACATGTTCCAGGAGGAGACACCATGGCCAGAGCATGGCAAGCAAAGGGCAATTTGATGGAAGAAGAGATCAGAAAGGAAGGCATGGGCTAGATCATGGAGGACCTTCTTGGCCCAGTGTGGCAGCCGGGTAGTATGTGCTGAGATTGCTCTTCAAGACAGAACCTGCCTCAAGGTGTACAGTCAACAGAGAGCCCACAGCAGAGCTCTTGTGGGATTGGCCAGTGTTCCAACTGAGGCCACGCCCTTCCTGGGCAGCTCCAATAAATGATTGAACCTGGTGGGAAGAATAGGGCTCACCATTTTGGCTCAATGCACAACTCCTCTATAATAAGCAGCCTTTGCTCTGGACTTCTGGTTGACCTGGACTAGACTTTCTCAGTGCAATCCCAGACTCAGGCTTTTCCTCCTCCATGCTCCTTCCTCCTTCCCTCCTTCCACAGGTATCAGACTTGTATTCAGTTTGGAGGAGGCTTCCCCTTCTGCCTCCTTCCTATTACGTCTCTCCTTGGGGTTTCACAGGGGTGATTCCCCAACAGAATTTCTTGCATTTATTTTTATTTTTATTCTATTATTCTCTTTTTTCTTTTTCTTTTCCTTTTATTCTCTTTTTATACTTTCTCTTTTTCTCCAGTTTTCTTTCCTTTTTAATTTTTTTCTTTTCTTTTCTTTTTCTTTTTAGAGATGAGGTCTCGCTATTACACAGTCTGGCTTTGAACTCCTGGGCTCCACTGTGACTACAGGTGTACCACCATGCCTGGCTTTCTCTTGCACTTCTAAGTATATCTTGGCATCTCTTTATAAGAGGAACCACACTACACAATTGGTAGTGGGATTGGTCTGCAAAAGGTGGCAAAGTGGAGTTTGGGTACTGAGTCACCCACTGCCTGCCTGGTAATTAGGATCCCGTCTTGAGTGGAGTATGACTATTCTCTGGCACAAGGCTCAGCTGCTAAAAATGGTGGTGGTGACCCGGGAAAAAGTCCAGGTGAAAAGGAATGCCTGTGTCAGCATGCTGACTCAGGCGTTTGAAAAGTGTAGAAGAACAATGAATGCAAGGATAATGGAATTGCCTGGTTATTACCAGGTTGCACTGACCTTCCCTCCAAGGGATAATGAGAAACTGAGAGGAGTTAATAAACAGCTGGGAATCAAGTGTGAGAGCCAGAGGGCCTCTTTGGTAGCTTACAAAGAAATCTTCTTCTCTGGCTGTGCAAGAGCAGACCCAGATGAGTGGCAGGCTGATGATCTAATTGTCAGAACTGAGAGTGCTACAGATGTTTGGATGCTCAGCCAAAGTAGGTTTCCTATGCTAAAGTCAAAAATCTGGTTGGAAAACATAGGACCTGGAATCTGAAAAGTGGGGGACATCTAGGTGGATAGCCCCAAGAAATGTGGCTCTGCAGACTCCTTCGTGACCCACAAAGGAGCTTGCAGAGTTGGCTTCCCTATTGAGAACCAGTAGTTTCTGCATGTGGGAAAATACTGCATATACCAGAGCATTTTTTTCTTTTCGTTTTTCCTTTTCTCCTCCTCCTCCTTCCTTTTCAATCTTCTTCTTCTTCTCTTAAAAAGCAACAGCCTCCACCTACAAGAAAGTGCCTCCACATCCTCTTGTGGCTGCCAGATTTTAAACAGGGTCAAGTTTCAGTATAACCTGGCTGAGGATAGGTTGGGCCTGATAAAAGGGAAAGAGATTTTACTCTAAAGGAGGCAGAAGAATTAACTACGTCATGGAGAAGCTGGACACCTCACATGTTGTTAGTGGGAATGTAAAATGATGCAACCACTTTGGAAAAGTCTGACAATTCCTCAGAAGGTTAAACAAGACCAGGAATGGTGGCTCACACCTATAATGTCAGCACTTTGGGAGGCTAAGGCGGGAGGATCACCTGGGTTCGAGACCAGCCTGGGCAACATATTGAGACATCATCTTTACAAAAAAAATAATAAAATGACCTGACTGTGGTAGCAGCCTGTGATCCCAGCTACTCTGGAGGCTGAATTAGGAGGATTTCTCAAGTCCATGAGGTTGAGGCTGAAGTAAGCTATGATCATGCCACTGCACTCCAGCCTGGGTAGCATGGAAATATCCTGTTTTTTAAAACAAAAAAACAAAAGGTAAGAGTTTCCATATGACTCAGCAACCCCACTTCTAGTATATACCCAAGACAAATGAAAGCATGTGCAAATGAAAACTTGTACATGAATGTTCATATCAACATTATTCACCATACCCAAAAAATGGAGCCAAGTGTCCTTCACGTGAGAAGTAGCCTTTCTCACATTTCAACCTGTGCCTTTCCTACTCCAAGAGCCTCAGGCAGCATTATGCATTCCCATACCACATGGCATCTGACCAGGGGACCCACTTCACAGTGAAGGAGGTGCAGGGGTAGGGTATGATCACAGAATCCAATGGTTTTATTCCATACAATAAAACCCAAAGAGCGGGCCTCATAAAAGGTAAAAATGGCTTACTGAAGGCATAGCTGAAATGAGAGCGTGGATACAATTTCCTGCAAGGATGGGACCATCTATAAGAATGCAGCATATGCACTCAATTAGCGATGTCAGACATGTCTCCAGGTAGGAAGAATATATGGGTTCAGTAACCAAGGATGGAAGTAGAAGTTGCCGCACTTACTATGACTTCTACTGAATCACTGGGATTTTCTTCTCGCATCCCTGCAACTCTGAGCTCTGTAGGATTGGATGTCCTGATCCTGAAGGGATGTTCTCTTTCTGTGGACACAGCAAGGGTCCCAGTGAACTGCAAGCCAGGACTACCTACCATCAGGGCACTTTGCATTCCCTGTGATCAGGAACCAGAAAGCAAGAGAAGCTGCTAACCTAGAAGGGAAATTGATGTTGCTCAGCAGGAAGAGTGTCAGGTGTCTTTTCAAAACTGTTATAGCAACAACTTTCAGAGTAAAATCTTACCAGATCCTCCTTAACCTGGCTCAATGTTACCTTTCTGATCTTTCTTTTCTTCTCTCCCCCTTGCTCACTTCCCTCTCGCCATGTTGGCCTCTTTGATGTTCAGTGAGCGCACAAGGTTTTTTTCAGGACTGTGGTCTGTCATCCTGCTTCATTAGATAGAAGGGACAAGAAAGGCCACAAAATGCAGAAGGAGCTTAAATGAGAGATGGAGGGGTGGGAGATATTTTACCTAGTTACACTAATTTGTACAGAGCTGATGGCTGAGTTGGACTTTTTAACTCTAATTTTCAGAACAAGCTTCCTCACTGAGAGGAGGAAAATATTAGAGAAAACAATACTTATTGATTAGTGACTAAAAAATGAGACTGAGACAAAAGACTCATCTTCCTGGAGAACCAACCAGGTTCCATCTTTGATAAAGATTAGTAATAGCAAATTTATTTTTGAGGTATGTTAAATGTCAGGCACCAGGCTAAGCTTTTTACATATTTTGTCTTATTTAATCCCCATAAAATCTCTAAGAAAAAATAATTATTATTCCAATTTCACACATGAAGAAATAGAGGCTCAGAAAGGTGATATAATTTGCCTAGTCATACCTTATGTAAAGTGGCCAGCTTTAACCACAGCTCTTTGAGTCTAAGACCTGTATTATTTTCTCCACAATTTGCTTCCCCTTAAGAGAAAGAGCTAATCATTACTTCATTCATTCATTCACTTATTCATTAATTTAATAAATGTTTACATTGAGTGCTCATTATTTGCCAGGCTTGGCCTGATTTTGCTGATACAGTGTGAACAAATAGGCAGGAGCCTTACCTTGATGGGTGTTATAACCTAATGGTGTAGCTGTACCACGAATCAAAGAAGTTCAGGTCTCTGAAGTGCAGCAGACACAGCATGTGCTGAGACTGACATTTGAAGGAGGCCAACAAAGATCACCGTTGACCTAGACCTTGACTATATATTATGCACAGTAAATACATAAAACCTTGGTTAAGGCATTGACCTTTCAGCTTCATCAATTTTGAAATGGGTATAGTAATAATACATTTCTTGCCAAGTGGTTGTCATATCAAATGAGAAAATGTGTGAAAGGCCTTGGCAAACTATAAAATAGTCAATAAGGAGAAAAAGTCTTTTCTTTTCTTTTTTGAGACAGGGTCTCACTTTGTCACCCAGGCTGGAGTGCAGTGGCACAATCATGGTTCACTGCAGCCTCTGCCAACCAGGCTCAAGTGATCCTCCTGCCTCAACCTCCTAAGAAACAGGTGTGCCTCATCATAGCCAGCTAATTTTTCTTAATTTTTTTATAGAGACAAGGTCTCGCTATGTTGGCCAGGGTAGTCTCGAGTTCCTGGACTCTATAGATTTTCCTGTCTCAACCTCCTAAAATGCTGGGATTACAGGCATGAGCCACGGTGCCTTGCTGATCTTTTCTTTATGCTAAAAAATTTCAAATGTATACTACGTTGGAATAGTGCAATAAACACCCAGATGCCCATGAACTAGCTATGACAGTTATCAACTCATGGCCAACCATGCTTCGTCTTTAGCCAGACTCTGATTACCCATTTTTTTGGGACACAAATCCTTGACTGCCTATATTTTTATCCCTATATATATATTTCAGTATGATGTATACCTCAATGAGGGGATTCTTTTAAAAACCATACCCACAAATACCATTATTACTCCTAAAAGCCTAAAAACAAAATTTACAGTAATTCCTTATTTTTATCAAATGTCATAATTTGATTTAGTGGTCAAATTTCCCTAATTATCTCAAAAATTTTGAAATCAGTAGGTTTGAATTAGTACTTAGATAAGAGTCATACATTGCAGTTGGCTGCTATGTTCCTTTTAGTCTGTAAGTTTTTCCTTCATCTTCTTTTTGTTTTGGTTTTGCATTTTGTTTGCTTACAAAACTTTAGAACAGTGGTTCTTAAACGTAAGTGTGAATTAGACTCATCTGGAAAGCTTGTGAAACCCCGGATTGCTCTGCCCCGTCCCCAGGGATTCTGATTCGGTATTGCATTTCTAACATGTTCCCAGGTGGTGCTGACATTGCGCTCAGGAATGTCATCCACATGTCATGCCTTCCACATGTTCATCTTCCTTTCTGTTTCTTGTTAGAAGGAACGTATTTAATTGTCTGCAGTACAACATAACGGTTAAAACTCAGGGTTTAAAGTTAGATTCCCTGTATTTAAATCTTGCTTTTGATAGTTATTTGTCATATGATCTGGGCAAGTCACTTAACTGTTCTGTAAACCCAACATTACAGGGCCTTTGTGAGGATTAAATGAGATTTTAAAAAATGAAATGCTTAGCATAGTACTCTGGCACTTAGCAAATGCCCAACAAATTTGATTGTCATCTTTCAACCAAGAAATCATAAAGGGGTGCACGTTCTGTGGAAGGCCTTGAGTTTTGTGTTTTGCTGTGTTTTGACGTCAGCACAGGCAAGCAGGAACGCCTAAGAAGTACCTGAAGAAAGGTGGAGAAGAGCAACTCTTCTGACTACTTCGTAAGCTCAAACTTCTGCCTCTTTAAGGAGGGCTCAGCCACGTGACCCACTGTATCACGTGGCCCGCCGGACAACATGGCTGCGCCCGCGTTAGGGCAGGCTTGTGGACGCTGCCCCGAGCCGGGTCGCGTTCTCTTGCTGCTGCTGCTCTTGCTGCTGTGGGGAGCGGCAGGGAGCGAGAGCGAGGAGGCCGGGACCGGTGCGGGCGCGGGGTCCCTTGCGGGTTCTTGCGGCTGCGGCACGCCCCAGCGGCCTGGGGCCCATGGCAGTTCGGCGGCCGCTCACCGATACTCGCGGGAGGCTAACGCTCCGGGCCCGGTACCCGGAGAGCGGCCGCTCGCGCACTCGAAGGTGCTCCCTCGATTCCTCCGAGGCGGGTGGGGGCTGCTGGGTTCCTGGATGGGGTTGGAGTAGGCAAAGCAAGGGACTAGTAGGAAGGAAAGTAAAGGTTATAACCACACCCCAAATCGAGCACCTGCCTATCCCGTTTGAGGGGTTCCTTCTCTGTGCCTCACCGGAAGACTCCGTTTAATTGAGCATTAGGGAGTTTGGTTGGAGGATTATGCTACTTTTTTACCTCCTATTTCTTCCTCCCTCTAACCTGTTCTCTTGATGATGATTTCAAAATTTTTAAGTCAATTAAATTATGGTTTAATTAATCATTTTCTCTATTCTTAACTGAATAAATTAGGATCTTGGGTCTCAGTATCTTCAACAGGGTGGGTTGTATACTTATCTGTAGTCTCCTCCAGCAGACTCTGCTTGAGGACAAGGGCTTGTATGGTTTATCCTGCTATTAGCACTTTAGCACATAGGAAGGACTGAACAAACTGTAGTTGTTTTATTAATTTATCTGTGTCTTGCATGGCGCCTGGATGTGTTAAGTGCTAGGATATATAACTACTACTGGCCTGGCATGGTGGCTCACGCCTGTAATCCCAGCACTTTGGGATGCCAAGGCGGGTGGATCACAAGGTGCAGAGTTCGAGATCAGCCTGGCCAACGTGGTGAAACCCCGTCTCTACTAAAAATACAAAAATTAGCCAGGTGTGGTGGTGGGCGCCTGTAATCCCAGCTACTTGGGAGGCTGAGGCAGGAGAATTGCTTGAACCCAGGGGATGGAGGTGCCAGTGAGCTGAAATTGTGCCACTGCACTCCAGCCTGGGCGACAGAGCAAGAGTCTGTCTCAGAAAATAAATGAGTGAATATTACTTCATTCTGTCTGCCAGGTATTTTGCGTATTGGTGTGTTGTCGGAACAACTTGTAGGACTAGAAGTCAAGTCATCTGACTCTTAAACTGGTGCTCCATCTTGTTTACTTAGTGCACCCTATCTTTTTCCCATCCCGTTTTTCTTTCCTTTGGGTTAATCCTGACCAGTGTTTAAGACTTAGGTGAGAGGTAACATTCACAGCAGGTTTCACCTGACCTTCTCTCTATCCCCTTCATTATTTCCCTATCCTGCCTCAGCAGTATGTGTTTACTCTGGCATAACAATTATTAAAGATGTTTTTCTGCTGATGTCTCTCCCCAACTGGGCTGTGAGGGTGGTGAGGTCAGGACTGTGATTTAGTCTGTCAGGTGTAGAGTGTAGGAAGTTGATAGCTGGGTTTGTCATTGTTTTTCCATCCTGTGTAATTTTGGGCCTTTGAAGTTTTTCCTGTTACCCCTTAGAACATGCTCTGTAGTATTATTTATCTTTTGTGTGGTGAAGACTCCTGGTTACTGTTTTAGTGTGTATTGGCCATACTTGACTTTAATTCCTCTTTACTTTCTAACTTGCCTGATTGATAATCAGTCTCTTCTTTTTTTTTTTTTTTTTTTTTGGAGAGGGAATCTTGCTCTGTCACCCGGGCTGCTAGGCTGGAGAACAGTGGCGCAATCTTGACTCACTACAATCTCTGCCTCCCAGGTTCAAACAATTCTCCTGCCCCAGCCTCCTAGTAGCTGGGACTACCGGCACACACTGCCACACCTGGCTAATTGTTTTGTATTTTAGTGAAGACAGAGTTTCACCATGTTGCCCTGGCTGGTCTTAAACTCATGAGCTCAGGCAGTCCACCCACTTTGGCCTCCCAAAGTGCTAGGAGTACAGGCTTGAGCCACCACACCCGGCCTATCTCTCCCTCTTTCTAAGAAGAAATCCTTATATCTGTTTATCTATTTTTTAATAGGGCAGCTGTCTCACTTGCATATATACATTGGTCTGTCTCAAAATTTTGTCTTGATTCCGCTGGCAAGTACTGAACATTCCTCATTTTTAAACATTCCATTTTCCTGTGGGTTCCAGAATGGGATGTGGATGCTAGAATCTTTTGGATTATGTTTACAAGATGTACATTTTTCATCCCTATGGAGTGTTTTTGTGTCTTGACTGGATGCTATATGGGTCATTTTTGGCCAGTTATTTTAGTCTGCTTTCTACAATGTTTAGGGGCATCTCAGTTTATTAACAAATTAGTGGTTGATGAGAATATACCTTCAAGCCTTCAAGGATTCAACCTAATGATTGAACCTGAAGAAGTCTTGTTATCAAGACAGTGACGTCATAGCAGATTGTTCTTTATCTGTTTTCCTTGGTTTCAAATGTTTTAGTTCATGTGCAGATGACTTTGGTCTAATTCTAACACTTTGCCATTTATTCTAAATTTAGGAACTCCAGTATTTCAGAAGTAAATGATCACAGTGGTGGTTCTGCCTTTTTTTCCCTCTTTGTTTTGTTTATTTGGTACATTACAATATAAGACTTGTTATGTAAGATTCGTCCTATGTGCTGGGCATACAGAAAAGAAAAAGACCCATATACTCCCCGTAAGGCATTTACACTCTGGTAGGTGTTTCTCTCTCTCTCTCTCTCTCTCTCTCTCTCTCTCTCTCTCTCTCTCTCTCTCTCTCTCTCTCCTCTCTCTCTCTGTCTCTCTCTCACACACACACAAGCATCATTATCATTTTTTATAATGAGAATACTATAGGAGAAGTATGTCCAGAGTACCTGGAGAGGAAGAAAGAATTCATTCTTCAAGGACAAGTCAAGTAGTACCTCAAGGAAAGGTCACATTTGAGCTAGGCATCAGAGAAGATATTTTCAGGAGCTGGGAATGGAATTTCAGATTCAAGGACATTCCAAGGAGGAGAAGAGCATGAGCACATGTCACATTGTGGAAATTCATGGTGTGTGCTGGGAAACATAAGTGATTTAAGGTCTTCTTGGAGTGACATATTTACACTTTTTAATGTAACACTTTTTAGATGAGTCTTTTTGTTTGTTTGGGCTTTGGATTTTTCAGTTTCACTGGAACATTATGGCAGTTAGAACTGTCTGAGACACAATATAGACATTTAACAAACTGATGTATATTCCCTCTGGTTTTAAAAATGCAGTTCTCATTAAGAAAATTATCCTATCAGTTTTCTACATGACTTACTATTTTGTAACAAGGACGCAAAATATTTTAGTCTGCTTGTATCTTTAGAAGACTTGTTTGAAAGGCATTTGGGATCATGGGATGGAAACATTGTAGGTGGCATGTCTGAGTATGGATAAAGTCAGTCTTGATTGCCTGAGGAAATTTCTGACTGGTAATGCTTCCCTGGGCATCCAGGCACAATTGAGTGCTGTCTCTTCCATGAAACCTTTCTACTTCCTACAAAGTAGTTTTTCTGCCCTCTCAATTCCCGTAGCTTATTCTGTTGTTGTTTGATGACAACTACATTACATATTTGCTGTAATGTAGTGCTAGTGTGTAGTTGTCTGATATTCTATATTGGAAGCATTTTAAGATGTTTTAATCTCTATATCCCCCAAGTGCCTTATACATTTTAGGCATTCTGTAATAATTTCTTGAATGACGGATACAATATTGATAAACTGCCTTGGGAATAAAGAATGTCACATAGTTTTTTCAAGAAACATTTGTAAAATACTCTTTTGCTGTATTCATCCTCCCAAGAATCCTGTGAGAGAGCCGTCTCCCACTTTACAGATGAGGCAGCTGAAGCTTAATGGAATCATATAGCTCAGAACTGCAAGAAACTTTGAATGTCATTTCATCTATGATTAGTGTCTTTCTGTAGAGGCAGTAGGGTGACAGAATGGAATGGATAGGTAAGCCCTGTATAGATAGATAAGGCAGGAGTTTGTGGACAGATCCAGAGCACATGCTTCTCTTATTCACCCAGCTTCTTCATGAGCCTTTATTTTAATTAATTTTTATTAGGGAGACTCAGGACAATAGCCTTTAGCTTTCAGTGTTAGGATAAAGAGAGGAAAGAAGGAAAAGGAGAAGAGTTACATTCCATTTTTGTGTACAAGACAAAAATCTTACAGTAGCAAGTAAAAAAGACAAGACTGGCTTAAGCAGGAAAAAACTTAAGCAGGAGGGAACATTTATAGCTCTCCTAGTTTGGAAGTTCAAGAGTAAATATGTCCCCAGACACACCTGGATGCAGGGTCTCATCTCAGGCAGCATCTCCATGGCCTTTCCCTTTGGCTGTCTCTGTTCTTCTGCATTGGCTCCATTGTCAGGTAATGTCCCTTCTCCTACTGATAAAATAGAAAAAGTTCTTTCCTGGTGTAGCTGTAACAAAAGTTCAAAGATGAACTTTGATTGGGTTTTGGGCCTATCCCTAATTACATCTCTGTGGTCAAAAGAATGCTATAGTTGGCCAGGCTTGGTGGGGCGGTGGGAAGTGGGATAGAGTCATCCAGTACGCCTGCGCCACTTAGCTTAATAAATGGTTTTGGAAAGGAACTTCAGTATTTTATAAGAAATAGAAGGAATGTGTGCTGGATGGACCAAAATAGCAGTGCCCACTGCATATGGCCTGGGTGTGTAGCCCAAATGTGGTTCTGTTATTCCAATTAATAATAGAGTCATTCTTGACTTCACTTATACTTCTGGCTTCAGTGGCTGTGGCAGAAGCTGTCGTGTGGTGGGGGAGGGTTTATCTCACCTTCAGATTGAAGAAGATTTGGATTGTTTGAATTTGGACCTTCAATGAAGACTTGATTAAAATGGTCCTTTTTATGTGGCTTAGGGTCCTACACAGTGAGACACTCGATGCTCTGGTTTTCACTTGAATGACATTTGTAGGACACAACACTTTATTTAATTGGTATATATGAGAAATTATGATCCACTCAGAGTGATCCAGGCTATTTTTATCTTTAGCATCCAGAATGGAAACTTGCCTTATTCAGCACTGGCTATCTCTGATGGTTAATGAAAGAAGGAAAAAAAGAAAAAGAAACTAGGCCAGAAGTCCACAGTGGAAGTCATGATTGCATTAGCATGGTTGGTACTCACTTTGAGGGAGAAGATGAGAAAAATTAGATGATTGTAAAAGTTCACT